CTGGTGAGGGGCCTGGAGAACAAGTCCTACGAGGAGCGGCTGAAGGAGCTGGGCTTGTTCAGCCTGAGGAAGAGGAGGCTCAGGGGCGACCTTATCGCTCTCTACAGATACCTTAAAGGAGGCTGTAGTGAGGTGGGGGTTGGCCTGTTCTCCCATGTGCCTGGTGACAGGACGAGGGGGAATGGGCTTAAGTTGCACCAGGGGAGTTTTAGGTTAGATGTTAGGAAGAACTTCTTTACTGAAAGGGTTGTTAGGCACTGGAACAGGCTGCCCAGGGAGGTGGTGGAGTCACCATCCCTGGAAGTCTTCAAAAGACGTTTAGATGTAGAGCTTAGGGATATGGTTTAGTGGGGACTGTTAGTGTTAGGTTAGAGGTTGGACTCAATGATCTTGAGGTCTCTTCCAACCTAGAGATTCTGTGATTCTGTGATTCTGTGATTCTGTATCCCATATTGGTTTGCATTCTATTCACTTTGCATACATACCAAAATGCTAATATAAGTTGCAGATAAAATGTTTTAAGAGTTAGCTTTTTACTACTGCACAAAAGGACTAGAAAGCTAAAGAACTACCTGGAAAATAATTGTGGGTACATGAAATTTATTGATAGTCTTCTGTTGTCAGTTAGGATCTCCTTGTGTCCATTGCTTGAGATTAATGTCCCTTTACTCTAGCTGTTTAGCACTAGTCATTCAGGGACCCTCTGTAGTATACAGAAGGTCAGGGATACGTTTGGGAGGTGATGTACCTCAGGTGTCTGGACAGCTATCACAGAATAAAGTATGGTCCAGGAGAACCTCTCTTCCCTCCCCACTGATGGTTATTCATGACTTAGACCAGACCACCTAGAATTTGGAGGGCCAAGAGGTAGTCAAAGTGACCCAAATCCTGACTAGTTCACAGATAAATAAATCTTATCTATTTCCACACTTTTAATTAAGACTCTTAATATAGTTGAAAGCCTTTATCTATGTAGGGAAAATCAGAGCATGTGGAATTTGCATTGGTTGAAGTAGCTCCTAGAAGCTTATTACGGGGGGGGGAGGGGGGAGGGGATATGGAATTCTAAAAATACAGGTATAAATTCTAGTGCCCAGTGGGCCTATTTTCAAGAGCAGCAGAACTTAAGGATAAAACTTCCTTATGGACTTTTCTTGGTTTTACTGCAAATGTCAGCTACCAGACACTGACACATAAATAAAGGAGAAAAAAAAAAAAAAAAAAAAAAAAAAGTGAGGTACGTTGCCTGATGTGCTTGTATTTCCTGCTGATGTAGGTGAACCATTTAACAACCACAATCTGTGCTGGCTCCTTTTCTTCCTTAGGGAAATAGTTACTGAAACCAGTCATTTGCTAGAAAAATGAGATGATTGAGCTTTGAAGTCTGTCTTCTCTGCTTCCCTCTCACTTGCTTTTCTGCTCTTCTCTTCTTCCCTCTCACTGTGCTTTTCTATTAAGTGCACATAGAGCTTTGTGTTGGAGAGTCCATGCAAACCAGAAAAGGAAATAAGGAAGCATATTGATAGCATCTCTCAAGGCATGAAGACCATTGGAGGAACAGAGAGGACAGTCATTCTCTTTTTAAATTTAATTTTACTAGGTACTTTAAAAAATATTGAACTTCAGATGTGAAATAGCCCATTTAAGCCAAAGTAGAATCCTGAAATGGGACCTTTGTCAACAGTGTTGTTTATGGAAGAAAACTTCCAGAGAGTGCAGTGAATTACTGCATGTACTAAAACAGATGAGCTGGTAGCCTCTGGCTCCCAGAGGGGAATAACTTACAATCATTGCATGAGTCATGGAGACAGGCAGATACAAATATTCTTGTTAGCTCAAATGAAAAAAGAAGTTCTGCACTGGAGATCAGCGTTCCCATCAGACCACCACCTTGCCACATCTTGTATACATTCCTTACTCAATGTCGATAAATAGGTCATTTGGGAACAATGCATTCCAAAGAATTAGAAAACTGTAGTAAAAGGTATGCACTGCCACACTAACTATTTTTCTAATTATTTTCAAAGATACTGTTCAAAGGTTTGGGTTTATATTTAAATATAGTATGTCTAATTCAAAGTAGAAATTCTAAGGTAATGTGATTGCAACTTTGAAAAGGTTTGCACATCCTTTCACAGATGACTTAGAATAGAGAGCCCTTTAGAATAGAAGCTGGTTGCTTATTTTTTCTGTTCTCTAAAATGAAGTCTTTTGGCTTCTCAGAATGGAGGTTTATAATCCCACTAGGGGCAAGAGCAGAGAGAAGGAACAGGAAAAGACTGACAGACCTTTCTTCCATGAATTTGTCTCCTTGCTTCTGAACTCTACACATTTCTTTGACCTCCCGAGATTTCAAGCCAAAGATTGCTACAGTGTAAAAGTTCTTCCTTTTGTGGTTCTTCCTTTATCTGTTGTCATTTTACTGCCTGTCCCAACCCCCCCCCCTCCCCCCCCCCAAAAAAAAAAAGACCTTTTAAAGCCTGGGGAGATGTGTTTTTGCTAATGTTCATGCATGTTACATAGCTGTTGTTTAAAAATGGATGGATTCAACTTTTTGGACACTTGAAATGATAAGTAATGAATCATTCTGGCTGATTACCTGAGTAATCCACGAACAATTGAAATATGCATGCAAAGAGGAATGATATAAAACACAATAGTACAGCCAGAGGCAGGCAAATTGGAGGAAAAAAATAAAAATAAAAAATGAAAGGGGTTCTTTTTCCAGAGTTTTATTTCCTGGAATGTTTTTGTCAGGTTATGGTCTCAAAACTGCATGGAGGTTGTCCTATGATTCCTCTTTGGGTGACATCACCTCTCTCTACAGCTGTTCAAATAGGATTTGACTGTCTGGCAGAAGTAGCCAGATGCTCCTATGTCTGCTCTGCTTGCAGGTCACAAGTATCATAGGGAAATCACTCTATGCTAAAATCAGAAACAAGTTAGCAATAACAGTCTCAGCATGGACAGGTTGCTTTTATTGCAAGCAGCAGTTCATGAATGTGTCAGTAGCACCCAACATCTTTCCTTTCTTCACCACTGTATCTTCTGCTGTAGAGAACAGCTTTAATATTTTATTTTATCTTATTTATTTTATGTTGTTATGTTATTTTTTTACATTTATTATTATTATCATCATCATTATTATCATTATTATCATTATTTATTTATTTATTCATTTTCTCTCCTAATGAGAGAGAAATTAATCACATCAGAAGCTTTTCAAAGTCATGAGATATGGTGAGTATGTTTGAGTACCCACCACAGTGTTACCAGACCTATAGATTTGTTTGAAATAAGAGTCTAGGTACTGAAATATCTATTTGTTACTCACATTATGATCATCATATTCACATGCTCATATGTTAAAAAGCTTGCGTGATATTGTGGCACTACATCCAAGACAGCTTAAGAGGTTCATAAGAAATTCATTTAAGTTTATTCTCTGAGGTTTTGTCTAACTGCTTTGCAAGTATTTAAGTAAAAACATAGAAATAACAAGCTACAAGCTACAATAGTAACTTGAACTAAGTGGTTGTCTTTCTCTTTTCATGTTTCTCTTTCTTTGGTTGTTTACATGTTTGAAACTTAGAGACATAAAATTAGATCTCTTTCAAGAACCAGAATACTGCCCTTTTCTTCCAATCCCTTTGTTCTTTAGGGACAAAGGCACTGACTGATTGCAGATTCAGATCAAACAAAAACAAGGTACTGTAACATAACAGAAACAGCCTCTTTTACTGTGTAGTTTACTATGTAATCCCTTGAGTACCATGCAGAATATCTCAACTAGGCTGGCTTGCATTCTCACTCTTCCAGTATGCCCCATATGCCCTACAAACGTTATTATGAGACTTATACCACTGATGATGAGAAATTCACCAGAAACTTGACTTCTGGAGACTAAATATTACTGAACTGATCTTTCTCTTTATAACATTTCCTATCTTTTTAAGGGATCTTCACATTTCAGACTTCTCAAAAAATGTGTGGCACCTTCTTGACTGAAATAACCAAGATTTCTGTCACTGATGATGGCAAAATGAAATAAAAATACAACAGAACCTGGATTTATGGCCACCCTGAGTGAAAACTTTCTTTGTACTATTTTCATGTGTTTTTTATGAAACATATTGAAGAAGTGACAGTCAAAAAAACATAGTAGCATTGACTGTCATTAAATTCTAAAGAAAAAAATATCCCCATTTCCTTATCCTTACCAATAAGTTTTAAATCTCACCAGTGTTCATTTGTCTTTGTCTTTGGTGAACTGGCTATAAGGAGGAGTGGATTTTTGAGACTTATTGAGACACTTATCTCAGCCTGAGCCAGTCAGAGGTTACTGTCTCTTTGAAATACCTTCTGTCAGACATGAATTCTAATCAACCACAGATGTTTATTTTCATTCACTGAAGACTTGAAACCAAAAGCTAGAGGTGACTTTAGCTCATTCTTGCTAATCCCCTAGGTCCTCACTTTGCTAAATTTAATCAGTGGCTACTGGTACTGACTTTCTTTCCCTGACATCAAGAAGAAGACGGACCTACTGAATTCATCTCATCCAGCCTGATGAGGAGGCCTACAGTTCCAGGAGAGTGTAGGATGTAGATAATGACATTAATTACTTCTCAAATGATCAAACACAAATGACTCCATTGGTACTGGTTTTGAGGGGGACAAAAATCCACAATGCTGGAGTAGAAACAGAGTGAATGCAGCACTAGTGCAGATCCTTCCCTGCCCCTGAAGAAAAGTGGAAAAAAAAATTGTGCGTGTATACAGAAAAAAAATTATATTCTGGAAGTTATGGAGTTTTATTTTCTCTTTTTTGAGACTAACTGGGATGCATACATTTTTACACATGAGTAATACGGAATGTTACAGTATAAGTGTATATTAAAAATAAATTAGAACATGATACAAAAGTCTGAGGTCCATATTCATTCATACGAGACTTATTCTCAAATAAACATGAAAATATTTTGTTTCCCTTCTCTTAGATGACTGACAACTACACAAAAAGACCACAACATTTGATGACTATGGAAGGAATAAGGAAGAGGAACAAAAGAGAGAAAAAGCTGAAATAGGCTTTGAAATATGTTTGTGTTCTAGGGGAAGCAAATTACTTCCAAAATATGGAAATGAAGACACAGGGGTAAGATTTCTCTCTTTAAGGATGTATCTTGGAGAAACAGTACTTCTGCTTGGGAGCTGGATCTGAATCCAGCTCAGTCTCTCTCTTCTTCACCTATCCTCCCTCCCCCCCTTCCTCCCCAAGATATAAAAGCAAGCCGGGTAGGGATTTGAACTATGTTCTGTATATGATTGTTAGTGTTTGTTGGTTTTTATTTGTTTCTCTGTTTCCTTTTAAATGCAGTTTTATCTTTTTAAACAAGAACATCGAGATTATGACTTCATAGTGACAACAACTCTAAACAAAAACTTATTACACAAAATATTTGAGAAGCTTAGCAAGTCAAGACAGCTTTTGTGATCCCAGTGATTACAAACCATTATCTTCATCTTGGTTTGGTAGCTGGTTTTACCAGGACCTGGGAACAGTTTTTCTGACAAGCAGTATTCATATCCCTTCGGCCCATGAGAAGCAGAAACAAGGTACCAATAGCTGCAGGAATAATGCTTATTGATGCATCATGTTTCTGTCAGGTCCAGATAGCTGTTGTAGGGTTTCACTTAACTTGAGTTGTTTTTTCCATGGACACTTATGTCTGTGTTCTTTTGTATAACTTCCCTGTGAATAAGAGAAAAAGACATCAACTAATTCACTTAAACTCAAAGGGGCATGACAATCAAATCATGACAATTTAACCATTAAAAATGTTTGGTTTTGTTCTTCAAGTACAAAGAGAGCCTAGACAGACATCTAGAGCTAAGCAAAATTAATCTCAGCCTTCAGCAGGAGGTACATAAATTAATAGATGACAGACAACATTAATCAGATCATATGGCCCATACACCTCCAAACACGCTTGAGTGGCAAAACAGTGAAAACTACTGAATTTTTCACATTTAAGCCAAAAATACCCTTCTGCAGATGTAGCTATAATATGGCTTTCTGCTTCTCCAGAAGAAGAATTCAGTGGTTGCTGGGTGTTAGCTGCCTGCTGTATTCTTTGCTTGTGGCAGCTAACCAAATGGAATGCACAAAACCTAACAGGCCTTTTTAGCCTGGTGTCAGGGTATGAAATGACCCTATAAACTGTGGCTAACTCTTCTCATGCCAGGGTGAAGAAATCAATCTGGTAATTATTTTTTTATATTTTTTTTCTTAGCTATTCTCATCCTCATCCTCTCTGACCAAGATGCTGCCCTGCTAGTGTTCTCTTTCCCATAAATATACATGTCCTTTCTCAAACATAGCAATCTGAGTATTATTAGCATAGAAATGATATCAAGAAGTATATGTAAAAGCCATTTCCTTTATTCTCTCCTTGAAATTGTGATTTAACCACTTCAATAAACAGCAAAATCATTTATTGCACACATCATTACCATTGAAAAGATTAAGATAGTCTGGAGATCAGAAAGAAATAAATCTCCCACGAAGAGGAGCAACTTCTGCTTGCACCCATCCATCCCAAATTCCTACACGTTGCTACTCCTTACTAAGAAATGTCTATAGCTTTCCAGAAGCTGTCTTCTGGATGGTGTCTCCCTGCTTCTGGCCAAGCAGTCCTGGAGGTTTTGAAGGATGAGCAAGGAAAGGCAATAACAGGTCATTAAAAACCCACCATCAACATACACAACTGGGAAAGTGCTCTGCCTGTAACCTGCCCAGAGATCAAGAAAATCAAGCAGTCTCTAATATGACTTCCACAACCATGGAAGAGGCTGGGAAGGGCCAATATTTCAGTACCTTCTCCATTTTTTATTTCAGCTGTGCCTGTTTTATTACACAGAAGAATGTGTTATGATTTGCAACGGGTACTGATAGTTTATTATCCTGAAGAATGTGTTGGACAGCTTCATTACACAGACAATAGATTCATTTAGCTGGTGCCTATCTTTTGTGAGACAAGTTTTAAGAGCACTCTATTGCTTCCTGTGCATTTGATGAAAATACGTTTAGACTGTTTTCTCTAAACACAAGTTTGTTTGATAGGTTCCATGTCCTAATTATAACATTTCACTGCACATAATATTGAACTCAAGAAAGAGCTATTATCCCTTGTCTGCTCAGCACTCAGTACAGGGAGGTCATTTTCCTGATTGAGGTCTCACCATTCTATTATGATGCAAATTATTTTAGAATAATAATAGAAAAAGTATTTCTCATTGATTATGAAGTTTAAGCTACTTTGTAAGGAATATATGGTAGTTTGCATTATGTTTTATACAGTTATGCAGAGCAAAATAAGAATGGTCCCTATCTTATGCATAATGCTATATATGAGGCATACTGTTTTTCTCGAGCCTGCTGTGTCTTTGTCTGTAAGTCCACATTGCATTACAAACACTCATTTGCTAAAATAACTTTAGGTATGTCATCCAGAGCTATGTACTTGGCAATCTCACATTACTGCTGAAAGCTCTGAGTCCATTCTGGCAATCTTTGATTTCACTTAGTGAGCTCCTCAACTTGCAGTGATGTTGGTAGCTAGTTGGCAAATGAGCTCCAGCAGTATTAACCAGAAAAAACAGGCTGCACACAAATACACTTCAACTGTGCACATCTGACCTTCACTGGTCAAAGCCACACACTGTTGGGTAATCTCTGCTGTTTCTCACATTTTGCCTCTCTCTCTCTCTCTTTTTTTTTTTTTTTTTTCCCTTTAAAGGCAGGAAAGTAGTGCAAAGAGAAGGCATTTTTCCCTGACCTCATTTGGATATCAAGGACAACTCCTATATCCTTAGGGAACAGATAAGTATGTGGGTTGAACATGCTGCTTCACACAATTTTTGTTCATGAAAACACTTGACTTGTCAAAAGTAAACACCTGCAAAAAAAAAAACCCTGTTTGGGCCTACTATAATTCCATTGCTCAATTGGCCTTATTAAGTGCATTTTAAGAAATTCATTTTGTCTCTCATAACTGCACACTGCTTTGTTTTTGTAATTTATATCTTAAGCTATAGTCCCAGTGTAGTCACAAAACCTGCAGTATTTAAAAACCCAACTATTACTGTGCTAAGCTAGGGTAGAAGACAAGTTTCAAGGCTGCTTGAATTAGCTGGTAGTTTCTTTAGACTTGGAGGTTTGAGGGTTTCTTTTTTCAGCATGTTGGTAACTTGACACCTTTTTCTATATTCAGAATGGGCTTGGAAAGTGATGAGCCACAAACAAATTGAAAGATTTGTTTCCCAGCTTAAACTGCATGATCAGATTTGTTTACTCTTGTGACTACAGTGTCTCCTATTATGGGTGTGTACACCAGAATGCTATTTGAAGTTTTTATCCCAGGATAACTAGGGAGACAATAACTGCACAATGCTTTGTTTTTGTTGTTGTGTAGCTTTAGATATGTTGGATTGATATGAAAGACAGAGAATATAATTGGATCATTCAGAATTTAAAGTTATCATTTATCATCAAAGTGCTCATAAACACCACCAATTATGATGAAAGAGGTTTATTATTTGTGCTTCCACAGGATAGAAAAATATTTTCATAAAAATAATTCCTGGAAAATATGTATTTTCCCTGGATAATAGTTCTATACAGTTGTTTGAGTTAAAGTTTAAATGTCTTACTTATATTTCTTTATCATAATATGCTTACTCTCTGACTTCCATGGGCCTGAGGAGAACTACAACAATGGTGTAATGATTTACTTCTTAGTATTTTGTTACTAGTCCACACATTCAATTTTAAGTGAAATGTTATTCCATCAGTTTTTAAGAATAAATTATTCATATTTAAGCACTCTAAATAGTGTGGCACTATACATTTAATGTGTTAAATACGACAGATACTTTTCAGTATTTCTAAGGACCTGTTGATAGTAATATTCATTTTTAAATCTTTTAATTAATCATTTTTAATTCTTTTAAATTCTCTCCTAAGAGAATTTAAATTGTCTTCTAATTCTCTTCTCTTCCCAAGGTAGTGCAAGGACAACAGCACGTGGTGGACAGTGAAAGCAAGTTCCCAGCAATATCAAGTCACTTGGGAAACATGATGCAGCCAGTGGTGAAGCCCTTGTGTAATTTACAGTTTCTTTGCTGTCTGGGATGAGTAGGGTATGTTGTGGGGTGTGATAACAGAGTCATTTCAGGAACACCTGCAGAGATGTAAGAAGTGACCCTGTCTGTGCTCTTTAGCCACTCAAAATGAAGTTACCTCCTCCTTCACAAAAAAGGTCTCTAATCCAATTCACTGTAAAGTCATCTGGGTTATGACTTACCCTTGCTCATGATCTACCTGCTATTACTGTGAATTGGAATGGGAGTGTGTGTGTGATTCTTTGCAGTGTCTTGCAATCTCCAGCCTGGTAATGTCTTAAACCATTCTATCTAGACCCAGAAAAGCTCCATTACTGAGACTATACTATATAAAAGATGTCAAAAGAACCCATGTCCCAAACAACTCTGTACTTAAAAACTTCACAGTTCCTAACTTATTTCTGGCAATTCTACCTTATGCAACCAAATACCAGTTACTGGAAAACCTGTGGTAGAATTGCAAAAGCTACCAGACCTCTGAGATGAGCTTTTGCACTGGTAAGAATGAACAACATTGACAATGAACATTTCTTCTTCTTGTTTGGGAAAAAATAACATCTCAGCATAGACAATTTTGGAAAGAACAAGCCTCCTCTGCGTCTAGCTTGGGGCAATCAAAGTGTTTATGTGCCCTCTCTGTCCTGGCCTAGGAGGCAGATGCATCAAAACAGTGAATCCTCTTCTGCATCACTTTTCTTAGTGCTTCCTGGTTCTGTTAGATCTGGAAGATGGAGGGGAGACATGAGTACAGGTGTGTTCATAGGGTCTCAAAGGTCAGAGACTTGTCCTGTGAGTGCATGTTTATGTTTTGGTAAGGACAAATCTCAATTTATCATTATATTATCAACCAATTCACTGATAAATACTTTCTTGCAATCTTACCTTCAGCCTCTGCAAGAACTGAGGACAGGGCAATAGATATCTAAGTATGATATATCATCAGCATGCCTATGGAATTTGAGTAAAAGCTTTTAAGATGTTCCCAAGATCTAATAATTCTTCAGTCTCTTCTGCCATGAAGACTGAGAGACAAACCAGTAATCACAACATGAAATATTGCATGCCTTAGAAGGTTCATTTGCTTAGACTTGGTATCCTCAAATGTTAATGTAACATCACTACAAAACAAAGCCTTCTATATACCCAGGTACTGGACTGGCAGAAGAATATAGTTGGGAAATGTGACTTCCTTCTCTCTCCAGCCCTTAACTTGACAAAAGCAATCAGGACAGCTATAAGCAGCCTTCCAAGAGTAAGACAAAACAAAATGCCAGCTATACCTAAGATCTTGAAATATATGTCCTGGTTCCCAAAGATTCATCTGGCTTTAAAGTCAACTGCTACTGCTGTGACAATTGGTGAGTGACCAGCAGCCTTGGAATGTGTGGTGCTGTTAGCTCAGGACAGTGACTGAAAGTCTTGTGTCTCAAAGAAGAAATGGCTATGGTTCTTAAGGTTAGTTTGTCCCTATCCCATCTTCTCCCCAGTGAAGATCCAGCAATATGGAGGCTGGCTCTCCCCATCTCTTTTATTTTCATATTGGCTATACATAAGCATTTGGTTTTTTGGGGGGAGGTGGAGGGGGGAGAAGATGGGAACATCCCATCTCCACTGCTGTGGAGACAACAATGAGGAAAGGTAATTGCAGGTTGGAAGTTTCCTGGAGCTTCTCACCTTCCATCTCTCCAATGTCCTGAATGCATTTTGGACTGCTCTTCTGGCTTATTTTACAAATGCTGATCCATCCTTCCTGCCCCCTGACTTAATGCTTCCAATTTATTTAAAGATAAGCTCTCTCAGAAGTTTGAGTCTCACGGTGGATTCCCCTCTGACAATGCCTGTAAGTTAGGTTTTCTCTGCCTTTCTGCTATCCCACTCCTCTTATATGTACCATATATCAACATTGAGCCCGCAAAAAAAAAACATAAGGTGATAAGAGAAGGAAAAAAGATTAAACTAACACTAATAAATAAATAAATAATAAAAAATAGGGTTTATCTATTCCTTTAAATAGCTCGACTTCCTAAGACCTCCTGGTATGTAATTACCACAAGATAAGCTCTGCAGAAATCCACTCAAGCCTCATCCCAGGAACATATTGGTTTGCCTGCAACTGCTCACTCTAGCAGATTCTGGCTTTGTTTACCTCTGGGCAGGATGACTGGACAGATTGATGGACTGAAGATGTGTGACTGAGATACAAATCAGCTTATATAGCACATCCTAACATTCTGCTACCTTCAAGGAGCAGATGTTATATGTCACAGCGAGATAGGATTTTGGTGTAAAAACAGACTCCTGGCCTCTGCCCTTTGTAGAAGAGGGATTTTCCTTAACCAAGTTTGGAAATAACAAGTGCAATGAGGCAGTGCTCTTTCACCCTCCCAAAAGTAAGAGAGAAACAGAGAATTGTGACTTTGCATCCTTCCTTTCTAATTTAACCACTTTTTTTTTTTTGAAATTACTGTAATGATTTTCATATATTGGGTTGTGTCTGTTAATTGTATATTGTTTTCAAGTCTACTGCCTTTAAGTCACTGTGCATATTCTCAGCTGTGTGTACGTGTATTGGGAGACTTACCCAATAAATAGGTAAAATAATAGGCTCACTAGATATGCTACACAATTCATACCTACATCAGTGTATTCACAATTTTCTTTGCGTTTCCCAGTGCAGCTAGTTTCTTCTTTAGTTTATAATAGTGTGATAGTGATTGCTGAAGTTCAAAGTCCTATGCACTTTTTCTCCTGCGTCAGCCAATCTATCACTCATTTTTTAAGGTATGAGAATAACAGAAGTTAAAATCAAATCATTTTTAATGCTCACTGATAGCAGATTGAATCTTATTTCCTTTTAGTGACAGAAGCGTAAAGGTCATACAGTAAAACATTCTAGAAACAGCTAGAAGAATCTTTTGTTTGTCTTTGTAGACCTAATTGTGTGATTTCTTTTCTTATTCAGACCAATAACTTAAGAGAAAAAAAAATAAGAATAATAATGATTAAAAACAAACAAACAAACAAACAAAAACACACAGCTCTGTGGCATGGGATTCTCTTCTACTGCAGAGGCTGAGACCTCATTGAAAACGTTCATTCTCATTGGTAGCACCATAGGAAGATATCACCAACAAAGAGCCAGAAATTCTTACCCCTGTGAATAACAACACCTCAACTAGCATTTGATTTTCCCACTGTTAATTTGCTGTAGGTCCTTAGAACAGCTTCTGTCTATGTTCATCATCATTTCGTTTATCTCCACCCATGTAGAGCTGTGTCAGCTGTGTCTTACAGTCAGGACAGGCTGTAGAAATTTGAATAGCCATTTCATAGTATTTATATATGTGGTTTTTGTTTGTTTGTTTGTTTGTTTTTTCTATGAGATACTTAACATGTGACAAATGATTTAAATAAAATTATTGTAAAACATTTCTGTCTGTAGGTCCCATTTGAGTTACTAGATTAATATTGATAGTTGGTATGGAAAGACATAGTTTAAACCAGCCTATTAATTTTTGTGGGAATTATACAATGATTTGTCTTCATCTGGACTTTTATCTAATGTTAATTCCCATAGTACAGGTAAGAAGATTGTTCAGATCTTGTTTCTTCTCTTTCTTTCTGAGAAGAAGACCTTATATTCTCCTTGAAGAATTGTATGAGGCCATCTGTGCATTAGGTCAACAACAAAGTTAGAGGTTATTCTTCTTGATTTCTTCTGGAATATTCACCAGACTCGCTCAAAACATATTAAAATGGGCAGCTTCTCTTTTAGAGATATAAGATCAGAGAGCAATCTGTACAAGCTAGAGAGTGATCAAGCCATTGGGTGGTGGCAGATGGCCTTCCTGATTCCTGAAACCTCAGTGACTGCTGGTTTCTGCAGTGGTCTCATGCATTGTGCTTACTACCCACTCTCTTCACCTTGTATCTGTTTGCTCAGCACCCTTTTCCTATAGGCTGCTGACTCCAAAACATCCAAACTCTTATGCACTGGGGTAGCTTGCTTATTTCGGGAAAAACATCTCTGTTCTGTAAGTTATGACTCTACTTGACAGCTTTACCAGATTGAGACCAAAATACTCAACCCTTTTGAGAGTGGGATTGTCCTGTTGTAATCCATGTGGTTGCCAATTAAATTAAGGTTCTGTTGCATTTATAATTAAGAATCAAATCCTGATTTTGTACATGGAAAGGTGGGAGTTGAACAATTATATCATAAAAAATAAGGAGTCACAAACTTGCCTTGGGACTAATTCCTGTTTTAAGTAAATTCTTTAAAATGCCGGCTTTCAGTTCCAGTTTATACATCTCCAAGAAGTACAACTGTTGCTGTCAATACCACAGAGCTAGAAGAAGTTCTGTTTCCCCTCCTGCCCTATTACTCAGCAAAGGACTATTCATAACTGCCCAAAATAAATATGACTTTATAACATAAGGCTTTTACTATGTATTGCCATCCATCCATCTTTTTGAAATATTTCACTATTTATGTTTATGCATTTATACTCTTTCTTCTGGTATACTGCTTTTTAAGTAACATTGTCTAGGGTTATGAATTCATGTGGAAAGGAAAACACTTAAGGACTTCTTATTTTCTTCAAGTGAATGAGGAAATGCACAGTTAATGCAAGCAAAAAACATCACCAAGACAAAACAAAACAACAAACAGACCAAAACACTGCTATGCTTTTTCATCTCTTGGTAACAGCACCATTATTAGTGTTTGACCATAATGGTAAAAGAAGGTAAGGGGTACATCAAAGAACAAGAAAATACAGTCCTGTAGGTCAAACGTTGGCTTTCAGGAATGGTGTCAGAGGCAAACTGCAGTAGCTGTTCTCTTTCCTCTAGTATTTGCTCTGCAACAGAGCTCAGACCTTGAGTTCAATCCTATTCCAAAACAAAAAACATTGATTATTTCTCTATAACTAAAAGAAATTTCCTTTTCACACAAAAATGTCAGGATGAATTTCATATTGTTATGTAGCTTTGTATGCTCATTTAAAAAAAAACTTTTTTTTTTTTTCACCGTTTATAAATTATGAAACATAACAATATTCATTTCTTTCTTATTCTCAGACATAGTACTGACCTGAGTTCAGGAACAAGAGAGTTGCAGGCAGGGTATTGATATATTTTGATATTGCAGCTTACAGCAACAAGGAGAGAGAAACTGTTGCATTATTTTGGATATTTCTAATAAAAAATAAAATATAAAAAATAAATAAAATAAAAATAAAAATAAAAAAATAAAAAATAAAAAATAAAATAAACATAAAAATAAAAATAAAAATAAATAAAAACAGAGAGCAACAATTTCTAAGAACAGAGAAACCTTACCTTCCTCAGCATATGTGATATTCTTCCTTGCATAAAATTTCTAATATTTTCTGCAATATATATATATTTTTTTTCTTTCCATTGAGGAGTAAAAGACTGGATTAACATTTGGGCTGTGCTCTAGGTTACTACATTAGTAAAGTTACAATGCAATGCATTTGATTCTACATGCTACACAAAACCATTTTTTAGTTTCGTTTAGTTGTAAAAAGATAAACTGGAAAAACAAACACACACACACACACAAAAAAACAAAAACAAAAAAAAAAAAACACAGATGGAATATATTCTCCAATGTAAAACTTAATTTAACTCTACTATAACTCTAGTTAGAGCACCTCTCTGATTATATTCCTCATCTCAGAGGGAAAGAGAAATCAGAATTGTGTACTCTTTAAAGGTAAAATCCACAGAGAGAAATGTTAACATTTATATTGTTCCAGTGCCCTTTAATTCAGATCCAGATTTAACATCCTAAATTACCATCTTTAGGTGATCTATTCTCTGAAAGTCAAAAAGTCCTATTTTTTATGCTCATTTCAATGTTGTTCAGCCATTAATGCTCACAACAGTGTCATGAAGTTATGGTATGGTTCTTTATTTGCCAAGATTTTAGCCTTCTTCTACTCAAAGTTGGAGTCACACTGGAAAAATCAACATGGCACTTGGGTGTGGTTTCCTTCAGTATTTAAATTCCCAATAATAAACTTTTTTTAATGTCAGCTATACAGAACTACATGCAGCACAACTGGCTTTTGTAAAAATTCCTTGACCATGTATAACAACATGTTCTTTCCAGAGAAACAGTATTTATAATAACCAACAACCAGCAGTGTGACATAGTACTCTAAATGTGGATCAACATTTCAGTGCTCCAATCAAATTTGATTTGCCTCTAAGGTGTTGCTGTGTCAGTGGGGATCCGGAGCTTTTCCCTTGGCATAGGAGTTCCTGCCTTGGCAAGTGAACACTCATCCACTACATCCATTCTTTTCCAACAGCATTTCCCAAATGTGCCTACAAATGATTTGTCTGGGTGAATGGTGCTTGTAGATACCTGAAAGTCAGGCAAAGGGAGGTCATCCAGTAAGGTCTTCCCAACTGTAAAATGAAGTTATTAATCTAGTCACCATATTGGATGATGTTTGGTGATACCTGAAACCAGGTCTTGCATTCCTTTCTGCCCTGGAAATGTCCCCTACCATCCACCGAGTTGGATGGGACCATATAGCCCTGTGTTTTGTATCCCTGCATGCAGAGGTTAGTGGCTCCTCTCATCACATTCCTCCCCTCAATCTCACTGGCTCATTTCACCCTCTGTTTCCTCTTCCTGCTCAAGCTGGCATTAGTGATTTGTCAGGAAAAGGTTTAGACTAGCTCTGCTTCCCTGAATATGGTGCGAACGAACCCATTGAGGTGAAACAGACTCTCAAGTGATGGTGAGGGGCTTCCTCTTGTAGACACCTTGGATGGTCACGTGTTCACTGGAGAGGATTAGGTGTGCCTGTGAAAGAAAATGAAATCTCTCCCTATCTTTCCCCACCCTGAAGACGATAACCTTGCACAGGAGGAAACTCAATGCTTATGCTTGAGACATAGGACACAATATTGCAATCATATTTATTCTTTTAATTCTCCACAAATTGAATACAATTTGAATCCCATATGATTAGAATAAAGAAAAGCAGGAAGGAAAGACTGTAGAAGAAGACTAAATAATGGAAGAAAAAAATAAAAGTGCACACACACACTGTTAAAAACAAACAAAAAAACAAGGAAACAAACACCTCTCCCTTAAATTTAGATACTTAAAAGGAATCTTAAAATGACATCTATCCCCTCCACAGACACATTTCTTCTCTAGGGCTTGCTGGGAAAAATGTAGTGGCAGGAAGGTAACTACTGATTCACATAGAATTGCCATGGATGTCAAGCAGGTCACCAGTTGTTTTACTGATGCCTGTATTAGGAGTTTTATTCCACTGTTTAAATTTCATTACAGAGAAGAAAGAAATAAAAAGTTATTTGGTGGTATAGAGGTGGCTTTACATGCTCTGGTTTCCATAACATGGCACTGCTTATTCACATACCTCTCTGTGGGTCTTGAAATAGGGTGGGATTGAAGCAGTAGGTGAGGGGTGAAAGTGTTCCTGAAAATACCTGTACAGTAGATACAAAAGCATTATTTGAAATGCCCTTTTATTTAACTGACAGCAAAAAGTAGTTTTAAAGGGACCTTTTCTCACCCCTACCTCTCTCCATCTGGCAGTGAAGCCTGGAAAATGAAGTAGTCTGAGGACTCTGACCTCTGGAGACCTGATTTGAATATGTATCTTTGACTAAGAGTGTTCTGGGGTATGCTCATGATGTTTCATCTGAGGATCTTTGTTCCATGCTCAGCCATACTGCATACAAACTTGTTCTCTCCATGGGTAACAGCTAAACTGAGCCAACTTGCGTCTTTCAGAAAGAAAGCAAGCTGCGAGCAGCAGGATCATTTGCTTCTGGTCCTTTCCAGATTAGAAAGATCAGCCATGATCCAGAACAAGTTTGTTTCCCTCCCCCAGCTCCTTCCCCATAGATATCTGTGTCCTTACATATGCCATAACATACATCAAGATAGACTACACACCTTCAGCATTCTGTAGCAAGGAACCTGTTGGAGGCTGCATTACCACTCTTTCATCATTTTGGACACAGAAAACTTACAAGCACACAAGGTCAACAGGGGCACCAAAGAGTAGAGGGCAATGTAGACCAAGGCTTAGGCTGTAAGCACATTGCCGTTGCACTCTAGAGGCTGTGAGCTTCTAGTCCTCAACAGCTTGGAAATGAACCATTTCACAGTATTGTTTTAGGATCTGTGGTCATCCTCAGATGGCCAGGCCCAGTTTGGTGATGTTCCCCTGTCTACAAAGATATCTCTGCTCTCCTAAAGAAAAAAAGCATGGTTGGCCTGTGAATGAAATAGCATTGCTGGGTCTGCTACAGTCACCCAAAGACTAAAGACAAATGCATCAACAAACCAAGATAGGAAAATCTATAAAATCCATAAAATCCACTGCCCACAAAAAAAAAAAAAAAAAAAAAAAAAAATAGCCAATGTAGCAAGAACAAGGGTTAGACTGTTCTATCCGTAGAAGCCAACACTTCCCTGTCTGACTGACTTCTGCCTGACAGACGTGAGGCTAAAGGTGGGATGTGTGCATCTCTCTTAGGCTGCTCAATAATTTAATAATTACCACTCACATGAGAAAGAATATTCAGAGGGTTGTATGTTGGTGGGTCATGGTCATGCTTAAGTAAGTGACAGAAATTATTAAAACCTGGACTCCTGACAGCATCTTGCCATGTGGCTTTATGTGCAATCAGTTGGTGGTTTTGATATTGTCTTGTGTGTTTCACTATCAGTAGTTGATGGCTTGAAGAGCAGGGTTATTTAAATATTCACAGAATCACAGAATCACAGAATCTCTAGGTTGGAAGAGACCTCAAGATCATCGAGTCCAACCTCTGACCTAACACTAACAGTCCCCACTAAACCATATCCCTAAGTTCTACATCTAAACGTCTTTTGAAGACTTCCAGGGATGGTGACTCAACCACCTCCCTGGGCAGCCTGTTCCAATGTCTAACAACCCTTTCAGTAAAGAAATTCTTCCTAACATCTAACCTAAAACTCCCCTGGCGCAACTTTAGCCCATTCCCCCTCGTCCTGTCACCAGGCACATGGGAGAACAGGCCAACCCCCATCTCGCTAGAGCCTCCTTTAATATACTTATACAGAGTGATAAGGTCACCCCTGAGCCTCCTTTTCTCTAGGCTGAACAAGCCCAGCTCCTTCAGCCGCTCCTCATAGGACTTGCTCTCCAGGCCCCTCACCAGCTTCGTCGCCCTTCTCTGGACCCGCCTTCCTTTAATTTTGCTCATTCACATAGTGATTCCTCTTGCCCATAGACAAGACTAGGCCGTGAATCTGTGAATCAGAATTTCTATCCCAGAGGGATTTCTGATATCTAATCTTTTTTTTTTTCTTTCTTTTTTTTTTTTTTTTTTTTATTTTTAATAATAATATTTTGGAAAGTTAAAATGTTTTGTTTTGACATTTTTGACTGAAATGAACAGTTTTTGTGTTCCCAAATTAGAATGTTTTATTTGTTGAACTCAGATGAAGCTTTTTTATTTGAAGTTCATTCAAAATTAACATACCTCTGCCAATGGTGCTGCAGATTGCTGGCTTGCCACTTGTTTTGAGAGGAAGCTGCAATGTGTGAAGGGAAATAGAGTGTGGGATAAAGGAGATTGGCCTGTAATGGTGCATGAGAAATAAATCATGTGAATTCTGACATAACAGAATTTAAAGTGTTCAAGATGAACATGTTTCTGAACAAAGTATTATGCCCTACAGTCTGTAATGTCTTGGAGACAGGATCCAATGGCATAGCAGAAGCAAATAAATGGGACATTCTAACCCAGCCAGGAACAGCACTAAGTATCCAGGGGTGCTGTCTTCACAGAGGTAAAACTTCTTGCAGTAGGTCATCATGTGTTTTGTGCCAAAAGGCAGTCATAGCAACCTTTAAGAAAGAAAAGGTAATTTTATGGTGTGGGAAAATGGAAGGGAAGGGAAGGGAAGGGAAGGGAAGGGAAGGGAAGGGAAGGGAAGGGAAGGGAAGGGAAGGGAAGGGAAGGGAAGGGAAGGGAAGGGAAGGGAAGGGAAGGGAAGGGAAGGAAGGGAAGGGAAGGGAAGGGAAGGGAAGGGAAGGGAAGGGAAGGGAAGGGAAGGGAAGGGAAGGGAAGGGAAGGGAAGGGAAGGGAAGGGAAGGGAAGGGAAGGGAATTTTTTTGATGCTGTTGCAGGGTTCTCTATTTACCATAATAGAAAAACCTCAATACATAAGGCTTTGGTTACTAACTTGTCCAAATCACTGGCAAATGCTCTTCATCCTATGAGACACTCAGACTATTTTTTATCCTATTCCAACAGGAAAAATCATTTTTGAAATTTCCTGTAGGCATTTCCTTGTTAATAGCACAATGCTTATTTTTGACATTTTTTAAACAAAGCTAAGTCCCAGATTTCAGGCTGTTAAATTCCTTCCTTGACCATAACCCCTAGGACCTCTAAGTTGTCTTGCAACTGGAGCACTGGGAGTTGAGATTCCCAGGCTCTGTGGCTCTGCAGCCTAGCAGCTAATTGAGTCTGTTACAACTTTCACTTCCTCTCTGTATTGACAAACTCTTCTTTTTACTGTATTTAGCCTGAATTTTCTGAGTGTTTTGACTCACACTGGAGTTTCTGAGTGATTTGACTCACACAGGGCATCTCAGTGTTCCAAGCCTCTGCTGTGGAGCTTGGAGACCAGCAATGACTAAAATCTCTTCTGAAACCCTCTACCAAGAAGGTACAAACAGTCCAACAGATTAAAAACCCTATTTAATTGGTGGAGAACTAAGACACCTAGCAGAGAGTCTCAAGCGATACTGAAAGCCTTTGGAGGAGCTTAGACTTCAATGTGACCTGTGAGGTAGAGCACTGTAGGACAGTGGCTCTTTGAGATAACTACTAGCTATGTGTCAAAAAATTCCATACATAAATTACTCCTTATACTGTAAGAATAATATCATCTGTCACTGGAAGGAGGTGTTCAATACCTTTATGCAGTATGAAATTCTCATGATCAAAACCAGCAAATCACATAGAATAGAGAGCAAGTTTCATCATTCCATTAACTTATCCTAAATATGTTTCATACTAAAATGAGATTTTCCCTCTGTCTTTGAAGAACACATTTGATAATTGTTTTTATTAAAGAACAGGCCACAGAGAACCTTTCAAGTCTCTAGGTGTATCTATGAATCAAGGATGGTCACTCAAATCTAGGATGACAGTGGAAATATTTATGGATACTCATCAGCAAAATATTCTTTATTCTTTATTCTTTGATAATAATATTATTTATTATGTCTGGCAAACTTCTAAAGACTAGATTCTAAGTCATGCTGCTCACACACAGTACAGACTAGAGTTAGGTGATATAAAGAGCTCAACATTGAGAATGTAATTTGAGCCATTAACCAAGGAAAATTGACTAAATATTTGGTACATTTATCCACAGTATCCGAACATTTATGTAGGACCATACATTAAAAATTTTGTTCTTGGGGTGGTTCAGAGAGTACGATGCCAGAAAGAAACAACTGCAATGGATGCTTAACATCAGAAACTAAAAGACATTTCAAAACTACTTTTGCTTGATGTAGAGCCTACCTTGAAATAAATAAATAAATAAATAAATCCAGTCCTGTCAACCAAACCGTGCACAGATCATTAGCAAAAATATTGGATGACAGCCACTTTCTATGCAGTTTGTAACTAGCTTGTCAGTAAGCCTGGAGTATGTCAAATACATTGTCACAGAGGGAAATAAGGGATAGCTGGTGGCATGTTTTGGACACACCCAAAAAAAGACAGACTTAAAATTTTCCAGACATATTTTGATGAGGATCTCCCTTGTCCCTGCTTTTCTCCCCGAGCTCAGGATGTAGATCAGAGTATTCATCTAACTGATCAGCAAAACATAGTTTGTCCTTTACATATAGGATGAAGTGCTCACCAAACTAAGGAACACAGTTCCCAAAATATGTTCTTCAAGCATCACACAATAAGCCCATAGAAACCCTACCTAATGTTGACATGGACACGGGTTCTCTGAGGGCTGGGAAAGCGATGGAGCAAGTACAGGAAGTTATGCAATTTCTTCTAAGGGTAAATCCAGGTAAATCAATTAATTAAGAGTGAAATAAAACAACGGACTTCTACAAAGTAAATTAATATGCTGTATTATTGTCACATGGTGAAGGGTTTATGCGTTTTAGCATACAGTGTACAGTTATCATATGAAAAGTGTGCCATCTTGTGGGAAAATACAAAAAATATCAAACAATGCCCTCATATGCATTCTGCATACATTATGCAAAATAAAGATTGTGAACACATGTTTGAAGGAATATTCAGGCTGAACACTAAAGGAACAAAACCTTCAATAGACAGGTTCAGCTTTCTGACCTAAAGACTTACTTGGGTTTTGTAATTTTCAGATTAAGATGATGAACTCAAACAGTATATTTATTACTGAAAATTCCAGACTAGCATATTTTTCCCAGTCAGCTGTGGATTCCTACAACAGGGTAATTCTTACCTAAAATAAATCAGCATAACCCAGCTAACTCATACCATCGTAAGCTGTCAACTTTTTAAGAAAGGAGTATGTATACATGTTGATCAAAAGAGACAGAAATAAAAGTTAAGGGAAAAGGAGAAAACCACTTGCAGAAAAAAACTTATATCACCAGGACCTCAGTCTCTGTGATTCTTGGCAAAAAAACAATCTGGAAAGACTTCACATTCAAAAGAATCTAAAGATATTAGCAGTAAAAAAATGAAAACTAAACAATAGCAATGAATGTCTTGGTCAAAGATCAAATGCTCTACATCTTATCCTTGGATTTGTGTAGTTTGGAAAAGTAATGCTTTTCAAAAATATGTTTGGATCTAAGTATTGCTGGACTGCTGTTGCTAAGGAGTCCTGCTGTGAGAAGCATCATGAGGCAGTGAAGATGAGAGAAGAGCAACATCCATGTGTGGGGTCAGGGCAAAGAGGCGAAGAAGAAAGGTAGGGGAGGTTGTTCTTTAGCAAAGAAAATAACAAATAGTCGACATCTGTGAGGAAAAAAAAAAAAGTCCATGTTGCATTCTTTTTCATCCCAGTTGCTAGAGTGAGTGTTTTCTCCTGTGGCAGAGTTTGCCCAAGGCCCATGCTTGCATGGAGGGAACTCCAGGCCACTGCTTATCTCCTCTCCTCACAGCTGGCTCAATAGCTGTGGCACAGAGCTTCTAAAATATGAGGTTAATCAGCATTTTTATGACTCAGGCTGCTCAAGCCTCCAAGTGGGACTTACCCTTTGACGAGAAAAAGTGTCAGAAGGGTCTCATTAGCTGTTCTACACTCTCATGCCCTTTAAAAAATATATGAAAGAAAATTCCACTGGATTGAATACAAAAGGAAAATAAAACAACAAACAAAAGCACAAATT